TGGAAGCTTATATGGATGACATAGTGGTCAAAACCAAGGACAAAGCAACACTCGTGCAAGATCTGGAGGAAACATTTGCAAACCTGCGCAAGATCAACCTCAAATTGAACCCTGAGAAGTGTGTCTTCGGTGTCCCGTCTGGCAAGCTTCTTGGGTTCTTTGTGTCCCAGCGCGGGATTGAAGCAAACCAAGATAAGATCAAGGACTAGCAGTAGCGTTGTTTCGGAAACGCGCTATAGCTAAGTTAGCTATAGCGCGTTTTAGCAAAACACGCTGCTACTATAGGAAGCAGTAATTTCTTTTATTTATCCTTACATTTTCTTTTTTTCATTTCTCTGTTTCCTACTTCTATCATTTTCATTTACTTATATTTTTTTCATTTTTCTTTTCTTTCTTAGCAGTAGCACTCTACGCAGGAAACGCGCTGCAACAATGACCATAGTGGTAGCGCGCTTTGCGCGGAATCACTACTACTACTCCTAGCCTACCCGCCAACACGGTGGGAATTATAGTGGTAGCGCTTTTTTCTGTACACGCGCTACTGCTATAGTTGAAGCTATAGCGCGCTTTCCTTGAACGCGCTACTACAAAGTAGCAGCAGCGCCCTATTTTAACCAGCGCTACTGCTATACCTCTGTGTATAGACTTTTCCCTAGTAGTGTGGGGACACAAAAGACTCTTTGTTATTTTGTTGCAGGGTTGCTTGAGAGAGACCATCTTCATCCTACGCCTCCCACGGATTGATAAACCTTAGGTCATCAACTTGAGGGAAATTTGCTACTGTCCTACAAACCTCTGCACTTGGAGGCCCAACAACGTCTACAAGAAGAAGGTTGTGTAGTAGACATCAGAGGGGAGGAGGAAGTAGGAGGGAGGAGGGAGTACCTCAGTGGACGTGAGGCACAAGATCTCCAGCGGCGGTGGCGGCGGACGACGGGGGCGCGGGGGGAGAGAGTACTGAGTGAGAGGGAGAGTAAGGGGTCTCCGTCGCGTGGGGGACGATAATGTAGGGATAGTAATAGCGCGTGTCGAAGAAAAGCGCTACTACTACAGAGAATATCAGTAGCGCGCTATCTGGATACGCGCTGCTACTAAGTGGGGCTACCCATTATGCCCCAGTTCAAACTTAGCAGCAGCGCCTTTCGCTAAAACGCGCTGCTGCTGAAAGGATAGCAGTAGCGCGTCTTACTGACACGCGCTACTAGTAAGTAGCAGCAGCGCCTCATTTTACCCAGCGCTACTGCTAAGATTCTGTGTATAAGCTTTTCTCTAGTAGTGATGCTTTCAGACTTCATTTTGTTTCTTCCTTTTTTTCAGTTGTCGGTTTTTTGTTTACTTTTTATACAAAATTTTGTTTTTTTCCAGTTTTTCATAAAAGAAAAATTCATCAAACCATATTAACATAAGATCTAGTTTTGAAGATCTAATGATGAAAATAGTTCCGATTCGTGAAGTGGCACACATGGTTCAAAAGATTAAATGTTTTAAATAAACGAATCTATAAAGAAAGGGAAAACTCTCGGGTTACAACAAGTGACACACATGCAGTGCGCCGCTTGTCACCGCGTGAGAACATGGATGACCTTTGCGATGGGTAACCCTTAACTAGTTATTTCACATAACCATGGACAAGTAAAAAGAAAAAGGTCACACTCCATAGGCAACTGGGCCGGCCCGAAAAAAACTGTACACACACGCACTCTCCTCACTGGGTGAAACCTATTCCCCACATAGGTCGGGAAATAGTGATCAACCGCGTACCCTCCTGCACACCACGCCCTGTGTTTGGGATGACCCATTCCAGTTTAGTTCCCCACCGTTTTTATCTTTTGTGAATTGTTCTTTCAAACTCTTGAAGTTCTTCCAACTCTGCAAATGTTTTTTCAAATTGTTCGAAATCATGCACACTTTACTAAGATCGTGAATAGTTTTAAAATTCGTGAACATTTTATAAGTACGTAATTTGTTTTTAAAATATATGAAAAAATAAATTCGAGAACATTGTTCTAAATTCTTGAACATTTATTGAATTCATGAACAGTTTTTGAACTCACAAACATTTTTTGAATATGTTAAAATTTCTTGTTTTTGGTGAATGTTTTTAAAATTGTGAACATTTTGAATTCACAAACATTCTTTAAATTATGAATATTTTTTTAGAACCCTGAATTATGAATATTTTTTTTAATTCATTAATATTTTTTATTCATGATTTCTTTTTGAATTACAAATATATTTCAAAATCTAGGAAAAATTTAATGTATTACTAGTATATAAGTTCAGAAAACAAAATACGGAAAGTTCAAACAAAAATGTGTGGTAAAAAAAGTGAGCACTAAAAGAATACCAACAAGAATTTTCATCAGGGAGTGTGAATTTTAAAAAAATAGTAGAAGTCCAAATATTTTACTACTTGAAGTTCAACATTAGAAGAAAAAACGAGGGATTTTTCATTATACACAACTTGGAGAAAAAGTTCGTTAGTATACATCTGAAAAGCTCATATACTAAGTCCTAGTAAGTTCAAATAATGCAAAAAAAAACAATGAGTTCACATGATAATAATTCTTGAACCCATACAAGTTCAGAGATCATACACAATCAGTTCTGACAAGAATTATTTTAAAAATATTCAAATCTAAATAATATTTCATTTAGATTAGTTCACGTTTTCATCCTGAGGTAGTTCAAAAAAATTGCCCAAAAGAAATCCACCATTCAATTCGGAGTTTCAGAAAACAAAAACTTGATGCCATATGGTGTTTTTAAAATAGCTCGTAAATCATGATGAATTTAAAAAATGGTTAAACATGAAAAAGGCCCTACTGTTATGTTCAATAGCTTTCCAATGGTATATTATATACTCCATTCCGAATAAACGAATCAAAAGTTTGATGTACCTAGATCGATGCAAATTTCACCTTATTCAAATCTCCTCTTAACCAGTGATGAATTCAGAAAACTGTTCAACACGGAAAAGTTCAGCATCTTCAATATATTTTCAACCCCCTTTTCTCTTACTGAATTAACTAATTCATTTCCTTGTTACTTTTAGGGGAATTCGTGCTTACTCAGCATTTCACGAGTTTCTTACGACATAATTTATTTGATTAATAGATCAAGAACCAAACCACCCCATTTTTATGAAAAAGAAGAATACCTATTTTGTTTTGCCGGCTACCGCTATTTGATGCGTTATATCATTTGCTCAATTTCAATATACAATTGAAAAGACACTTGACCTAAGGATGTAACGGATACATGCCAAAAACTGACTGTGTGTAACCAGAGAACATACAAATTCGCTACCAGCCGAATTTCAGCCGTGGAGCACCCTTGGATGGCTACCCCATTTAAGGGGTTAGGACGCTGCTAAAAGAAATCCCAACTCAAGATATCTCCCTTTGGGTACTATCCTGATAATGAGCTTGAAAAGTGACTACGAATGCATCCGATGCTTCCTGGACTAATGGTCTCGGATGAGTTGATGCTCCCATTTATCAAAAGATAGTTGGGAAAAAGCTTGAATAAGATGAGGCCGGATGATACTCTTTAGACCCTACGCCATTTGAGAAAAAACACATACTCATTCACGAACTGACGAGAAAAGGCTTTGTCAATGAGTATCTATACAGTCTTTGGGGGGAGGGGGGGTGTTGTATGCCGTATGGGCATGCATGGACCTAGACACCCAATGAGTGTCTAGTGTCCCACGGGTCCTATACCTAGTCGTACATAGGCGCATACTCGGGAGGGATAAGGACGTGGGCGCTAAGTCATGATTTCAACTATTAAAGGAAATATGTTCCCCTTCCGACGATACCTACTTAATTACCATCACAAATCAACCTATACAAAGGGTAGGCGAGTCCCAGAAGAGCATCTGATTTTTATTTGCCTAGAACCTAGGTTTTAGTAGATTGGATCCACCTCATTATGATTCTTCCCTTGATTAATAGAACTCCACAAACATGAGGTATGAAATTTTATTTACCCATCTAAGGGTAATCCAGGGAAAACCACCGCGTCACTGTCATGGTTATTGAGATCTCTTGAGGCACCAGCCCTTCCCTCTACTGTCTTCCACGGCATCATGTAGGTCGTAAGATCGGTAGTGTATTAATCATCGAAAGAGGGCGTGTGGAACCATTGCTATGCTTGTGAGAGGACGCAAGTGCAAGAGGCAATGCGAGTGAGGGGTCGGGTGGAGCGAAACTTTTTCTGGAGGGACGACCGGCACATTTCTTTTTGTGGAGTTACATTTCACCGTATAATAATGATTTGTTTGCCCTATAATAATGGTTTGGTTTTTATACATGACTATTTTTGAAAAAAATAGGATTAACTTTAAACTGAATCCGGGAAGATCCCCTTACCCAGAGAAGATGTGAAATTAAGATGTGACACATGTATAAAAAGATAGGATTTTTATACATGACTACTTTTTGTGGACTTTGAAATTAAGATGTGACACAAATAAATTTAGAGTTCTTTTTGGATTGTGCTTAATAAGCTGCTAAAAAAATAAAAGAAAAAGACGAAAAGAAGTGGACCAGAAATCCCCATCGTTTTCCTCGGATACCTTCCTTGTCTTACTCGCCGCCGGTACGCCTCTTTACTCCCCGCCGAGGCTCGCCGTACTCTCCTCAGTCCGACCGACCGACCGAGGCCCACCGCGGCTCGACCTGTCGCTGCCGGTGCCCTACCTCTCCTCCTCCGCTGCACCGCACACCCCCTCTGCCCTTCACGCGCCGCCATCGCCGTTTCCCTCCCCCCTGCCCGGTCCGCAATTCCGGCCTCTGCTTTCCGAGGTTAAACTCCATTGACGCCATCGAGAAATTCTTGGTGCACACCGGATCCGCCCTTGTCCCCAGTAAAAGAAGCAACTTTTTGTTTTTGTGTTTGTTTTGGGGGGTGGCTAGGGGGCTTGACTTCTTCTGAAAACTTGTTAGAGAAAATTCTGTTTTAATTGGGCTTCTCCTTGTGTTTTGCAGTTTACAATGGGGAACATTCTCACTTTCATGCCTGGAACAACTGCAGTGGCGAATCATTGCCATCACCAGGAGCAACTCCACCCAGGAGCCACCAGCAGCAGCAGCAGGATAGCAGGCCGTCAGTTTGAACCGCTGAGCATTCTGGCTTTCAGGGCTATGTCTGAGCATATAGTAAGTAGTGAAGCATTCTGTCAAGAGCAGATAGTCGACAGCCGGTTCCAGCTGCTGAGCATTCTGGTTTGCGGAGCAATCCATGACAAGGGAATTACAGGAAACGATCCATTCAAACTGTGTGGCATTCTCATCTGTGGAGTTTTGTCTGACTACATCCGTCACGACGCAGAGGAACCAGCGATTGATCTGCTTGGAGACCTTCCAGAGGTACCACGCTAAAATCTCGTGCTCCAGCCCGTCTGTTGGTCGCGGATTACTAGTTTCTACTTGTGTGCAACTACATTATATTTTTTGTTCTGCAGGACGTGTTATGCACAATTTTATCAAAGTTGCCTCTGGAAGATGCTGTAAGAACCAGTGCCGTATCAAGGAAATGGAGATACTTGTGGACGGTTTGTCCTAAGCTGAGTTTCGATGGAAATAAAATATGTGGCAAGAATAATCATGAGAAAAGAGTGTATAATCTAGTGTTCAGTCACATTGTTAATAGGGTCCTGGGACAGTGCAGTGGCAAGTTGGTTGAAGAGCTTGAAATCAAAATTGAGTTGAACCAGATGTTGGTTGAACATCTTGATAATTGGTTTCGTTTTGCTGTATCATCACGGACAAAGGCACTAGTTTTTGATTTAGCACGAGAACAGCGTCAACCCCCAGGTTGTGTTGATCGGTACAAATTTCCATTTGAGCTTTTAGACGAGGACAGTATATGCCGTCTACAGAAACTTCATCTTAGCTTTGTAGATTTCCAGCCACCAATGCATTTTAGTGGTTTCCCTAACCTAAGGAAGCTTGATCTGAGCATAGTGAATGTCAGTGGGAAGGATATTCAACATATGTTGTCAAACTGCTGTAACCTAGAGTGGCTGAGTATTGTTAGATGCCATTTCAATGGTGAACTAAAGGTTAACGGCCCACTGCCTCACCTGCTATACTTGAAAATTGCTTCCTGCAGATTAAAAAATATAGCATTCCATGCCGTGAACCTTGCGACTTTCGAATACAGAGGAGTGGCGGTGCCTATTGACCTCGGTAAATCATCGGAACTGAAATTTGCAAACATATATTATTTTGGAGACACTCTTGAGCACACTATTACCGTGCTTGCTAAAGTTCTTACAAGTGTGCAACATCTTACCCTCAATGCAGGCTGTAAATCACCAGAGGTTTGCTCTTCAACCATCTTTTATATCGTGGATCATCCCATTATATTATATTATCGTGGCATGACCTTTTGGTTTTCTATCTTTCAGGTTCCCTGTTTGATGTCTTACCCATGCAAGTTTTCTCGGATGACATACTTACAATTGAGGTTGGCCTATGTCAAAGAATTCGACAGCTTGTCGTTGGTCTCTTTTCTGAGGTCTGCTCCTTTAATTGAAAAGTTAGAGCTGCACGTAAGTACCCATATGGTTTTTTGGCTGATAGTCTATACATTTCTTATTAGTATTACTACATTATAGCTTCTGTCAAGGCACTACACATCTCATATTTTAACCATAGAAATGTCATGCTTACAACTGAAAAGCATATTTGTCTGAGTATAAAACGTGATGAGCCAAGTTATGCTGGACAATTTCTTTTTATCTTTGTTGTTGCACATACTGTCTTGGAACTAATGCATGGAGATTGA